AAAAAAAACTGAAGCAAGTTTTAAATATTTCAAGCATCCCTTCTGGGCCCTCAAAACTAAGATGAGGCAATTTAAAATGTACCCATTAGGGTCAAGTATCAGTAAATGGGGAAGGAATAGGAAAGGGAGGCGTAAGGGGATTGCGAGGGAACCAGCTTGGGTCCACGACCCGTGACTTTGAGGTATTCTCAAACATCCGCACCCGGCCTGCGGCGCGGGATAGTGGCTACGCAGCAGGTCTCAGATGAGGAAACCTCCGAAGGCTGGGGAATTAAGAGGCCGCTGGTGCAGGGAAGACGGAAAAGAAGAGACCATTTGCTACTTTGGAAAAGTCTAGGAGAATCCAGATAAGTTGCCCCTTATTCCCCAGAAGAGACCCGCCACGCGCCCTTCCCTGGGTCTGGGCAGTTTCTAGATTCCCACTTCCTTCCCCATCACCTTGCAACTCCTTCTTCTCTTTGCGATGCCTTCTCACTAGCTGCTCCTCCTCATCGAGCTCTTCGGTCAAGTCGGCCTCCATGTCTACTAGGTAGCCCAGCGCACGAGCTGGAAGAAACTTGCACCACCGGCTAGCCGGCACCTTCCACCCCTCAACCCTCACCCGGGGCGCCATTGGCCCCGACTAGACCCAGTCCCGCCTTCAAGGCGGCACCACATCTAAGCCGAGCCATTGGAATAAGGGGAAAGTTGAATGTGATGCTGCGCGTGCGCACTACCGTGCCCCTGCTCTGATGGGTCGGGGAGACGGGGGAGGAACGAAAGGGCGCGTGGAGGTGCGGCTGAGCCGGCTGGAGTTTGCAGCTTCGCGATTGGCTAGCGCACCAGAGCCCAAGGCTACGCGCCCTGTCGTAAGGCGCGCAGAGATGACGTAACGGGAACCATTTTGGACGGTTATTTCTTTCGGTGCTTCGGAAGTCCTCTTTTAATCTTCTTTTTGGGTCCCTATTGCTAAGAAGAGCTACTGAAAAGGTAAGAAAGAAAAATAAAACATTTTAATAAAACCGTCGATAATTATTAATGGGAATCTTTGGGATGCAGGGAATTAAGTTATGTTTCTTGTTTTTAAGGTCGTAATACCGCAGTTCAGAAGAAAGAACCGCTAAGTAATCGAGAAAATGCCTCCTCTTGAAACGGATATAGTGGTGCAAACAGAAGAGATAGAAAGGATTGAGACTCGTATAATACAGAGTCTTAGAGACTTATGCACAATGATAAAGAAGGTAATGTCAGAGCGCTTGGAAAGTATCAGGGAGTTGAGAGAGTTAACAGAAATGTTCAAGCTGGATTGGCCACAAAATAAAATTACTGAAGTAAATGCAAAACAGGACAAAGTCTCAGAGAACGCAGAGAAAAGGGGAAAAGAAATTAAGATAAGAAGAGAAGAGAAAAAGAGCGATCTAGAGGGCCGGTCCAAGAGATACAATCTACGCATAATAGGAGTACCTGAAACAGAGGATAAAGCAAATGGAGCTGAAACAATAATTAAGGAACTAATTGAAGAAAATTTTCCAGAATTGAAGAATGAATTAAATCTAGAAGTAGAAACAGCTCGTAGGGTACCTTTAAAATTTAACGAAAAGAAAGCAACACCTAGACATATCCTGGTGACATTTTTAAATTACAAGGATAAAGATAAAATTTTGCAAGCATCCAGACAGAGAAAGCAGGTTTCTTATAAAGGGGTAAAAGTCAGGCTGACCTCAGATTTTTCTCTTTCAACTCTAAATGCCAGAAGACAATGGAACAATATCTACAGGGTTTTAAGGGAAAATAACTTTGAGCCAAGAATTATGTACCCTGCCAAGTTATCATTTCTGTACGAAGGCAACTGGAAGACATTCTCAGATATGCAGGGGTTAAGAAAGTATGTCAACCAAGAACCTTCCTTGAAAGTTTTGCTTTATGGTTTACTGCAGCCAAGAGAGAGCCAGAATTAAAATAACTCAAGCAGGGAGGCAGTTGTTTGAAAGAATTAATGGTAAACACTAAAATTAGTTAAGGAACATTAAGTTTAAATTGTTATATAGAGAGTATTGAAACTAAACACAAAAATAGAAATGTAAGCTGGGTCTAAAATTTCGGTGTAAGATAGATTTAAACTGTGAAAGTGCATGCCAGATGTTTGTTATATTGGTATATTGGACAAATAAATGCTGTTTTATTTTCAACATGTAGTATTGTAGGTAAAGATGCATGTTCTTCAGCTAAATGTAAGTAAAATGAAAGGATTTTGTCATTGTAGACAGGACAGATAGAATAAAAGCATTCTGAATATTAAGCTGTCAAAATTGGAAAACAGTCAGTATAGGCTTTTTCCACTTGTTTTTAATTAAAGGAGGGGAAAAAACGTAGCAAGTTTTCCATAATGTTAATACTGGTTGGGAAGAGGGTGGCTAAAACCTTGTGGTATGTACATGTTGCATGGGGAAAAACAATAGTTACTGCATCATAGAGTAGTTCATATAAGTAAATCTGACATTAAAATAAGTGTTAGGAACAAAAATAGAATATATACATTCCAGTTTTTTGGATTACAGAGGAAGTGGTAAGAAAACAAAATATAGCAAAAGAAAAATAGGAAGTATTAAAATTAGCATATAATAGATTGACACGTGTACAGATGAGTTATAAACTGGTTAAATATCCCTGTTAAAAAAATTGAAATTGGGTAAACACTCAGTCTCTAACCTGGGATAACCACATTTGTATAAAACAAAGTGAAAAAGATTTAAAGATAATAGAAATAATAGGTCATAGAAA